TATCAAAAGTCATTTTACAGTGCGCAGTAATTTTCCCTTCCCTTCTACACTTCCAGTAGAGCTCAAATTAACAGGCTTTTCTTGATGGCAACTTCCTCCTCTCCTCAGCATCACTACTGACGATTTCAACAGAGCTGCCAACACAGCCCTGGGAATAATGGTTGTTAGTTGATTAGTGCAGTGGAGCACAAGTATTTTCTCCATCACATGGTGCCTAAGCCAGCTTTAGTGACGGATAAGTCGGTAGATACAGAAGTAAAGATAAGTTCAGCACATATCTTATCATGTGGAATTGTGGAACTGAAGGACTCAGATCCACCCTTCTAGAAAAAGTGTAACTAGGAATACACCGTCCTGCACATATGTAAAGCCAATTTTTCTAGACATGCAATAAGCTCTGTGTGTTAAATAGCAAGTCAAAGCCCTACCTCAAATTACAGAGACAAGTAGCCTTGAAAGTTCCGGCATGAGATAAGCAAATAAGACTGATAGCAATACCAGGATACACCTGGTAATGGCATCAGTGAATACTGCCAAAAGTGGTAACACAAGCGAGATAACAGTATTTATTTCTGCTTCGGTAGCACTTCTCTGTGCAAGAGCTCATATCAATCCTTATTTTTCAAAGGAGCTCCCCTCCCTGCTACCTCAAGTGCAGATCACGTCAGAGTCACTGACCCTTCGGACACAGGGACCGCGCGTGAACCCGCCTGCGCTCTGAAAGGCAGCACCGGCCCTTCACGGTGCACGTGCTCCTCCTTTTGTCAAAGTGAACATATCGATCAACCTGACGTTTATCTTCCTAATGAACTCACCTGACCTCTTGCAATCATTCTCCCTTTCAAGATCTTATATTTGCTTTTAATTTGCCTCCTTTTCCTTAATCAATAATCATTTTCTGAGGATTTATATCAGTGTCATGAAGACTTTTTGTACTGGTAAGTTGTCAAAGCTCTCAACTAACCCTAGAGATGACTAAGTTTTTACCAGCGAAGTCTCTCTATGGAATGCAAAGTTCTGCTCTGTGCACGGCCAGAATTGCTTCAGTTTTGTTTTCGTACCACATTTGCACGTGACTGAAATCCTCAAAGTTCAGACTTCTTAAACCTTGAGCCCAGAACCTATGTGCACCCAGAGGAATAGGCTCTGCAAAAACAACTAACAGAAAGACCTGTTTTCATTAAAACAGGTAGGAGGTTCCCTCTTATGAATGTGTGGGCTCAGTACTCCCTGCGGTGAAAGAGATTCAATCAACATTTGCTGGCTTCCGGGGCTCAGCTCTAGCCACCTGGACTAGGGCTGCTCTGAGCAGAAAAAAGTGGCAAAAAAAATCTTCCAACTAAAGCATTTTTTTTTTCCTCCAAAGAAGAGGAATGAAAGACTGGGTGAGAGGACAACACAGCAAGGTTTCAGGTATTATGTACTAAATACACATTCGGTAAAACAGAGATCTTACTTCTTAGTGCCTCAGCCATTACAGTACTGTGCATGTCCTCTTCCTCTTCCCCTGTTTCCAAAAGGAATGGATCCTCAACTCACTCCCCAAGTTAAGACCCTGATACCAGGTGTTAAGTTCTGCAGAAGTGGAGACAGCAGCTTCCTCAGCCCAGAGGATCCTGGAAATAGGAGGACTTCAAGAAATTCCCTTTTCCAAGCAGCCTGTGTGGACATTTCTCTAACGAGCACTCTGAGGGCCTTGGCCTCCTTCTGGGGTGGGAGAGCACAACAGCTCCTCCAGGTGCTGCACACACTCGATAGAGGCTGCAGCTCCCAACACATGCCTAGAAGTTGGCAGTAGTCACTGAGGTCACAGCAACAAGACTTTTTTTTTTTCTTTCTTTCTTTTTTGTGCATCAATTCTTGAATCTTAATGGGACCAAACTCCTTCTGAAATTATGAATTATTAATTCTCCTACTGCTTGCCACAATCATTCTGAGTTTTCATTTTCTTTTTCCTGTTTCTCTCCATACCTCTTACAGGTCTCTTGGGGAAGGAAGTGTGAATCAGTGTCATTATGAGAAGGAAGTACCTGGAACTGACTACAGTAACGCCTGGACAATACATTTATATTTTATGAAGGTTGTGATTTCCCTTTCCTAGGATACTTTTGTGAATGAAAGTCAAGCATGCACTGACCTTTTCTGCTATCACGTCATTCAGAAAACACACCTGCATGGCTGTCTGCAATCACGAGAAAGTGGTTTTTGTTTGTTTGTTTGTTTTGTAATTATTTTAAACGCAGATGAAGAATACGCTTTTTCCTTAACCCCATGCAGAATTGCTTTGCCTGGAAATATTCCTATTAATTAACCCTGAAGCAAAATCTCAATACAGAATATTTCACTTATATTTGCAAAGTTATTATCACTAAAAACAAAGTTTAAATATGTAAAGAGTCAGGTCAGCCTTTACAATCAGCATTACTTGCACTCCTTTATATAACAACAGCATATGAACATTAGCATTTTTATGGTTCCCCAAATAAGCCTTTTCACTCGCACAAAATTAAGGATGATTTATCTTTAGGACTAATATATTAGTTGACCTACATTCTAATATGTCTGTTACACTTTCACCAATCGCCACCTTAGCCCACATCAAGGAACTGAACAGATTTTAAATTGTCAGTGTCCCATTGACCTTGTTTTTAACGTATGTTCAAATACACAAAGAATTCATACCTGGTAAGTGAAAGCACACTGACAGGGAGGTGTCCCGGTAAAACACGACTGCCCCCCACAAAGCAGGGCATGACACTGTGAACTTCCAGCTCTCCCATTAACAGCGCACATTTTCCTCAGTTTCCTATATATTTCCTATATGTTCTTTTTAGTTCCCATTTTGAATTACTTCAAGACTTCAAGACTGCTTTTCGTAGCTAGTGTGTACTCTGGATGTTGCAGACTTGACAAAACTCTTGTGAAGAAAGTCACAGCACCAGCCACTTCTAAACAAGCAGAATATATACCCATGTTGAGCCATCTGAAAACAAGAAACGAAATGAAAGCTGCCTGTGGACTGAACACAAGTGACAGAACTGGTAGATCTTTGGTTGCCTTGCACAGCAGCAGCTGAACTTCCCCACTACACAGTCTGGCTTCATAGGAAGGTACAAGAATCACAACTCCAAATAAAAACTGTGAGGCAGATGACAGATCTCCCTATTACTCACTCATGGAATCCCACAAAATGCTGCACTACTCTTATCTGCGCATTTGATGACATTTGTCCTTCTCTAAATACAGGATTCAAATCAGAATGCCCTGTAAAGCTAGGAGCTGCTTTTTTGTTTTGTTTTGTTTTCCTGGAAAATGTCTGTATTTCACTTTTAAATCTCTCCTTAATCTTCTTTATGTTTATAGGCCAAAGATAAAACCGAGATACATGTTTGGAAAACGACGGCCGCACAGAGCAGCAGCCGACACTCGACAGAGCAGAGCCAAACTGCTCAACACTCTCACCAGGCTGCACTCCCTGTCCCTCCTATTCCACCACTCAGATTCATTTGTCTGGTAAAATAGGTCAGTGCTCATAAAAACCCCCCTTCAGGGCTGGCTGCAGCACATGACCATGGCAGTAACTGACCGGGACTGCGAATGCTCATATGGAACAACCGATTTGCACAAGGTTTATGAGGCATGGAGAACTGAACTAGCCACTGAATGTGGCCAAACTGTACAGGAAGGCGCTCCAGGACAAGTCAGAAAAAACTAAATGCCAATTTCCCATCACAGAGCTTCAGCTCTCCTGAGGTGGAAAGGAGCAGGATTTCTGAACACTCAGCTGCACAAAACTGGTCTTTTCAGAGTGGGGAAGAACAGAGGTAACTACAATGCTGCTCACATAAATATACTCTGCAGATCATCATCAACCATCTCTCTGGTTAATAGCTCTGCTCCATTCCTCCGTAGACATACAACCTGTGTGTCCTTCCTTACCTGCTAGTGAGGCTATTCTTCCTTTTGAAGCCTTCTTTCTTGGAAGATCGACTGCAGTCTTACACAATTCATATATATCAAGCCCTTTCAGAGATGACAGGTCCATCTTTCTACCTCACCAAGATATACAGGGGAACTGAAGCATCAAAAATGGTATCGCGTGGCAGTGATCAAGGCCACTCTTGTGTCTTCGAAAAAATGGCAAATTTACTCTTTCAGCAAGAAGATATCTTTAAAGGAAGCTCAACTCTAACCTCTGGCTTAGGATCAGAGAACACAGCTCAGCCAGGAAGACAAGAGGAAACCCACTGAGCTGAAGATGGCAACTGGTAAGAGGAAATCTCATTCCCAACACCTCTTTTTGGATGCTTCTTCAAAGCAACAACACCACAAAAACATACCTCAAAGCTTTTAAATTATCTACCATCAGACAATATGTGTTACACACAATTTTTCCACATATTCAAGACACCAAGGTTGTCTCTGCAGCGGAAGCTTGGCAGAATGTACTCGATGAAGAGCTGTGCCACCCAAACACGGCGTTGCCGCTTACAGAGCTGCTCTCCTCACACTAGCACAACCACAACCGGGCAATTCCCACTGGCGAGGCCGACCAGCTCCTTGCTGGCTCTGCACTTAGCCAGGATACTTGCCTCTGCACCAGCATCTCCTGTCCTGAGGGACTTGCAGGCTCACGTCTCAAACTCCCTCACTCAAATTATTTTAGTTAGATACAAAACAGAAATCTGATTGTAATGGTAATGGGAAAGGACCCTTCCTGTGAAGTATGACATGCACACAAAGGAAGATTTCTTTCTGTACAATAAAAATTGAGCCAACATTTCAAATGAGATATTCAGGAATTTCTGCTAATAGGGAGCTTTTGTCTTTCTCCAAAGCTGGGAAGATGAATGTAATTCGAATTAGCATTGTGCTGAGTAAAATACGCTCCAAAGCTGGGAAGATGAATGGAATTAGCATTGTGCTGAGTAAAATACGGGATACCATCTGCTATCTCATATACTGTGGACTTGCACTACACTGAAGACTTTAGTTTTTAAGTTTTCAGGGGACAGTTTCAAGCGTTCATATGTATTTTTTATGACAGCAAATAAATTGGGAAGAACAGCAAAGAATCTACTATCACTCAGAAATACAAAAAAAAAAGTATAAAATATCTTTTCAGAAATTCTTTTCTTTCCCCCCCTATAACTGTTGTAACCTTAGGTCAGCAGCTGTGCAGAGCAGGAAAAATCTACTGCTGCCAAAACACACTGCCAGGGGAGCTCCTCAGGATGTTATCAAATCACACTGGTACGTTACCTTCTGCTTTCGTGTAGACTGCGATGTTCCCATTTACCAAGCCAGCAAACAAGTACTGAGACATATATGTTAAGCTCATAACAGTTGATTTTTCAGGGGCAAAAAAGTGTTGAAGTCGAATTTTCTTTGAGCCTTGGCAACTTTTGTAAATAGATATGCTATAAAAGAAGCAAAGAACAGTAAGACTGCAAAGTTATGTCTTACGTACTTCTTATTAGAACAGGCACAAAAGAGGTTTAGAAAACAACATTGAAAAGATTCTCACCTTCTACTCACAGGAAGGTGAGAATGAAAGGAACTATCCTGACTCTCCAAAATATCTATACAGGCAATTTACCATTACTTAAATAGAACATATGACAATACCCTTTGCTTTATCTTGGCTGGAGAAACAGTTCTTCAGCCAAGAGACATAACAAGAGTCTCAATCAATGTTCTTATTAAACATCTACCTGCAACTTTCTGTTGGCTTCAAAATAATATGGATTAAATGTTCCTGCAGACCTGTTTTAGTTGTAAGGAAGAAGTTAAGGTCTTTGACTAATAGTACATTTTAAAAATAAAACATGTTCTAGAAAAAGTGTCACAATTATACTGTGAGCTGATGTTATAGAGTAACAAATGCTATAGAGTAACAAAATTATAGTACACAGTATAGTATTAAAATACACTAAAAATGAGAATTCACCTTCCTTCTTCCATGCCAAGGCAAATGGTAGGCACATTAGAAGCTTTTGTAAGGCCATTTTCAGAGCCAGGAACCGTGTTTAACTGTTTTGATTTCTCCTCCTCTGGTATGTAGACCATGCAGAGAATCCGTGATTCCACATTGAAGCATTCAATAACCTTGGGGCTGGAATTTTGAAACGACAGTATTGCAATCTGGCCCATCTGATTTGTACAACTGCCAATCTGGATTAGAAAGAGATGAGAAAGGGCAAAAACTGATACCTGGGCCTAGCAAGATCAGCATTAACAAGAATGAATTACTGGAAAATTAAAGAACACATCCTATGCACAGGAACATGAACTTCCATGGGTTAAGTCATAAACAAGAACAATTTAGCACAAATGTAATAGATTTACAAACATTATATAAGAACACAGAATCCCCTGTATACTCATACAAACAAGCCTGAGGTTTTCTTTTTTTCAAAAGAAGGAATACTGTGTTTCTTTTGAAGTCTGTCATGCATATACAATACATATCTGTGTAACCGCAAATACCTGTGTAATATACTATTTTAATAGCTATTTTAATTATCCCAGTTACTCTTACACTAAATAATATAGCTGAGGCCTGTACTTTGCACAGCAGTTAGGTCTACAGGTAAATGCTGCAACGCAACAGGAAGGGGAATTACTAATATCATTCATTATTAAATTTTTTAATGAAGAAAATATATCCCCGATCCAAGACAAAACATATCCTCATCAATATGTCCTCAAATCTGTATATTTTAAGGAGCTGGAAAGAGGGAAAAATGTCTGCCTGGAAAGAACAAAATGCTGTTATATAATTACTTTTTATGTTTATAAGAAACAAAATAGTGTGACAAAGAGGAAGAAAAAATATTATGCTGCAGTAGAAAGATTTTATTAGCATGTACTTGTGATAACTGTTCACAATTAGCATAGACAAAAACAAATTACAGGTTTTCTTGAAAAAGACAACTGACAAACTATTATTTTGTTTTTAGTTCTGTAGGGATCCAAACTGTCAGCCTCTATAATCACAGTATTGTACTACGAAGAAAAACTACTGAAATCATTAGATGTTTTAAAAATGTATCGGCTATCTTGCTTTGCCTACTGGAATATCTGCATATAACTAAAATATGCAATCTCATATACATTTCAGTAGCCTTCATTATCAATTAGCACATCCCTTACTTCTAAATATGCTCAGTACTTTGGAGTTCATACTGTGCTCCACAAACAAATCACACACAAATAAAAAGCATATAGTAGAATAAGGAAATAATGGGGACAAAGCTACTAGTTATGCTTTATAGGAGTCAATTTAAAATAATAATAATAAAAAAATCCAAGCATTTTGGATCCACATGTTTCTGGGAGTCACAGAAAATAAGAAGAAGAAAGAAAAAAGATCACTCTTTTTAACCTTTAAAAACATTTAAAAATTGAGCTTACCCAAAGAAAGCCATGTTCCATGGAGCAGAAATCCGACTCAGTATCTCCAGACAGGTAAGGCTCAGGATTATAGGCAGCACACTCAATCTTCAAGCAGAGAGAGCAGTTAGCACGTTATTTTCCATAGGGAGGCCTGCTCGTTCCTTCGCGCTTGGGCTGCGATGGGCTCGGCCACGTGAGCGCGTCCCCGCGTCGCAGGGCAGGAGGCCACGGGCCGGCCCGGCCCACGCGGCCCCACGCGGCAGCGCCCGCTGCGCGCCCATCGTTCCCAGAGCCCCACGAACCCGTTCTGCTCCAACGCTTCACAAACCTCACACACTTCATACACTGTTTCCATGCACCTAACCTAAAGTCATCCTTGCTCAGTCTCCTAGCCTGTTACTTCTCATTTTAGTCTCCAGCACAGATTATTTCTTTCCCTTCGGCAGTGACTCTTCACATATAACAAGGCTGCTATATGCTATGACCCTTCCTGGGCCTCCTTCATCATTAATAATTCAATTGTTATCATTAACATTCAACAAATCTTCTTTTTAAAATTCCTGATTATCATCACTGTTTTCCAGCTGGCATCTCTCCACCAGCTCCATATATCTGCAAGTGCAGAACTCTCAAAACTGAACATACTGTCCTGGTAGAGATGTTAGTAATACTATGAATGAAGGATTAACTCATTTGATAAGTTTCATTGGTTATCTGATCTTTATAAATAATTTATATTGCTGCCAATCCTTAGCTGCTTGCTCTACTAAAAATTACTTTTACAGACTTCCTACCCGACCACCTCAATATCTGTACTTGAGAAGCTGTTTATTTCTCCCTGAGCATACCTTGTGCAATCATCCTATTTTTTTTACACGTTATTTCTCCACATGTTTTATTCATTTTGAACACTAATTCTATTCTCCATAATACTCCCACTCCCTAACAACTTCATGTCATTCTGGCACTGTCAGTAAATTAATAAGCACAATCAAGACTTCATCATCCTGCTCATTTAAGCAAACACTCAAACTAATATCAGACTCAAGATAAATTCTCTAAATTTAAATCCATCTCTACCTAGAGAAACACACAAGCCCTATTTATTGACCCTGAACAGGGGTTATTTTTAATCATCAGCCAAGGATTTCCATTTCTTCCTGCAATATCAGTGGCAGAACACCCTAAAGCTTACGTAAATATCTTAAAGCAATCTACAGTAGCAGACACAACAATGTTCTGCAGAGTAAAAAGGTTCCTGATGAGGCATGGCATTATGTTTTTAGATAAAGTTCTCTATAATGCACATGGATGTTCTTGTCTTGGATAACAATGATACTGTGATTATACTGTGTGTGGTTCTAGAGGCAGTGGTTCTTAGGCATTTCTACAAAACATGGCAATATATTACCACTGAATTGAATAATTAAAAAAAAAAAAAGAAAAAGCAGGTATAATTTAGAGTGCTAAATTCCCAGTTTAGCTTATTTACTTTTTGAAAGTGCAAAGTGTCTCACCATTCTCCTTCAAGTCAGCAGGCATCACCGAGATTAGCAGTAGCAAAACCAAGGTTACTTGGTTGCTAAATAATTCACCATCAGAATAAAATATGTAAACAGATAGATCAGAAAAAAGAAGAAAAAAAGAAAAGAAGAGCCCACCATGCCAATTTTTGCATGTTGAAACTGTACTCAGGTAATGGTGATTTACAGCAGCTGTGACAGCTAAATACAGCACTAATGAAAGAAAAGGCAACCTGCATGTTGGATGCTTCTCGAGCTGCTTGTCATATTTCCCAGTTGGTTTGTGTCATAGTCAAAACTGAGGATGTTTTCCATATTTAAACAGCGGCAGCTCAGCTCTCCACTCTTACAGAAGCTCTTTGCAAAATGATGGCCTCAGGTACAAATATGCTCTGGTGGAAGAAATTACAGGCCCCACTCACTGCCAAGCAGACTGCGCAGCACCCTGAGGGCTACCAGGCTGGGTCAGTCGAGCAAGAGCTCCTCGTCCTAGCGCCAAACCGCAGAACAAGAGTAACACTGAAATGACTTGTCCTACAGTACCCAGGCCTTAGGAGCATGAGGAACAACAGCCAGGCTCAAACCCATCAGTAAGAGCTGCAAAATGTGCAAAGCTGGCCTAGAGTTCAGCCAAACACTGGCAAACCCTGTTTCTGCTGAGGTGGCCATGGCAAAGATTATTATATAACTGCAAGGGCTATAGGCTTTCGTTTCCTTGCAAAACGATCAGATCCTGTTATAATTTGGTTATCGGATTTGGATCTGGGCCTTCAGAGCATCTGGCATGGACAAACAGGGCTTAAGAACACACTGGCTCTAAGGAAACAAAGTATTTTAAATTTCCTTAATATTAATTGGATTATTTAGCAAGTGGTGACTTTACAAAACCTCAATGTAGTCAAAGCCGAGTGTTTAATACCACATGAATGATATGATATGGTTTTATGGGAGACAGGGAACCTTAAGTAGACTTTGGTTTCTGCAAACTGCAACACGTGTCACCCTGATTTGTGTCATAGGAATGGCTCAATTTACAACCCTTAAACATTTCAACATTTCCAGACAGCCATTATTTTTCCCCTAATGCCTACACCTGTATGCACATCCTTAAAGTAAAGCCACCAGCTGAACTTCCCTCCTGTATTGACTGTCCTAGCAATGAAGATCTGCAGACCCACTCAGGCTTTAAGCGGTACCCATGCGACAACGTCAACATTAGGATTCTGGTCCTACCTATACAAGCTTTATTTCCAACAGGGCTTTTGAACAAGCGTAAGTAATTCATGACTCAACACGAAATCTTGTTGATAGTAGGAAAGAATATTTAGCACTGCTTCTTTTGACATGCTGTATTTATTTTCTTCACTAAAGCCAGTCGTAGATTTGGCCTTAGACATAGGAACCACGGCATTAGGACCACTTGCATACCATCTTTCAGAGCAGAACTACATTCTTATATATGACCCTATAAAATTAAATTATTTTCAATATTTTGATCTTTGTGCATTCAGTCTAAAATTTGCACAGGAGTCAGTGTAGCCACACCAATACAGGAGAGTTATGGGTAATGAGATTCCCAATTCTCAACTGCAGTCCACATTGCCAGTCCATAAAAAGACAGGAAAACCTCAAGATCAACTCAAAATTTCTGGCAGTTTTATTTTAATTGGGTGATGAGCCTACATCTGAAATTGGATATCATGCCATTCAAGAGTAAGCACTATATTCCTCAGTGTCTCAAAGGTGGCAGGTATTTTGAACTCCTGTGATCTCCTTGGAGTTTCCATTGCTATTGGTCTTGCAGCAAGATATGTGTTAGCAGGAAGTTAAGAGAGTGGGGCTGAATTTAAACTTCCAGAACTATCTACAGTATGCTGTCCTTTAGCCATTGTTATTTCACAATAACAATGCAATTCTGTTTACCTTAAACTCTTGTTGTTTGGCCATCATCACTGGCATGTGTCTAACAAGAAGAGGATGTTTCTCCTTTTTGATCTGATTCCCATCCTCTTCTACACAGAACCAACCTAACAGGTTATCCTCCGCTGCAATGGCAAAAATAAACAATAAATATCCCACAGCACCTTCAGTGAATAATTGCTTACACCCCTTCACAGAGCAGAACTGAACAGTTTTGGAATTGGTTAGTATTGATTGGGCCCTTCTTATGCCATTGATGCTTCTGAAGGAACAAATGATGGCTTAAAAGTACAAGCAGAAATTCTATACATTAGACCACATACATATTATTAATGCAAAAACAGCACTAATACTAGCAAAATTTGAATGGTGTTTATTTACTTAGCAATCTTGTCAGCCTCTCCTAACTATCTTGGCAGCAGGATATTAAAACAGGAACAGGATAGCTTAAAAATGCTACCAAATATCATTTTAGACTAGCGAAGATGAGCTGTAAACATCATCATTTCTCTGTTGAACCTAAGTGGCACCCCTTAACAACCACTATTTATTGTAACTGCAAGGCTCTTCTTCACAGAACAACTGAGATGTCTACTCTCCCTTTTTTTTTCTGCCCTCAGTGGGATGGAAAGTGTCGTCTTTTGAGGAGGTGCTAGAAAAATTTGTTTTTTATCATCTGCATGTCCTAAATATTTCTCAACTGAGACACACAATGTGCCAAGCAACTTTTGAAATTAGACCTCCTGTGAAAGTACATGATTCTAATGACAAAGCAGTACAGCACATTTCTTATTGCTCCCACTGAGATTAGGCTTGTTACTGATTCTCTCTCCAGTAAGGATGACAGGATTACATTAAAAAAAAAAAAAAAAGCACTTCGCCCCCAACCCAACTTATGGTTTCAGGAATCCACCTATAGAATTATCCCCTAACTTTAAAATGATGAAAGTATGTTTGTTAGCACAGAAAGCTAAACAAAGGAACCTAACAGCTTTACTGTCATGTTCTAGCTAAAACTGTTCCTGAGGCAAAACTGACAAATTTGATCCTGAAAGACAAATGCTTGGAAAGTTTATAAGATCTGAAGATGTAAGAAATATAGTGGAGTAACTTCCCACCTCTCTGTCCTCTACTGTATTTCACTAGTTCTGACATAGATAAATGAGTAATAAACATAGCAGACTTCATTAATATACTGTGGAAATTATATTCCTTCATAGTGAATCCCTCATCCTTTCTGGAATATCATTACTTTGCAATGATATACGGTCACTACTATCTAGTGTATTGCAATTCTAACATCTTCAGATAGACTTTCACAAAACAATTTCATTTTCTGTAACAAACAGTACATTGAGGACTCTCTTGGTTGTTAGTTTAAGCAACTAAGAATTACCAAGGGCCAGCTTAGCCATTTGTAAATTGTTGATCCAAGACTGTTTGATTGCAGGGGTAAATGTATTGAACACAGCTGTAAAGAAAGTAGGCCGCCCAGACCTGCAGGACAGGGTGGGGGGAAAGAAAGAAAAAAGAAAAAAAAATGTAGTCATTCTTGAATAAAGTATGAGTATGAGATACCCTATAAAGGGTCATTGCCACAGTTACTCTTGCATCTGAAAAATGACACCGAGGAACAGGATAAAAACCTACAATGCTGAAAAAAACTGTCATGTTCTGTAACAAGTGAAAATTGCCACTGTAATGACATGGGAACAGTAGTCAGAGGCTAACTGTAGAGACAGAAGAGAGGGAAGAAGTTTCTCTGATACATCTATGCCAAAGACACAAACACATTTAGAAAGCTTCACAATCAAGGTTACTACTGACTTGTCCTGCTTTCCTGGAAGTTGTAGCTGGATTCTACAGCGATCTGCAGCTCTAATTTCATCTTCTTTTTTCAGGATCAGTTTTTGTAAGCCTGATGTCCAGTCATGGGCTACTGATTGGTTCAAATTCTGAAAAATAAAAATAGTTTAAGTTTAGATTCAGCGCCAGCGAGGCCTATTTCCCGTATGCTAAGGTGATCTTTCCTTAAAACTAACAACTCTTGAAGCTGACATTTTAATTGTGAATAATTTAGACAGATTTGTAAATTCATTTCAAAAATATGCAGAAAGATTTAATAATGTATTTATACCATGATTTACATTGTTCAGAGCTTGATGATACACAAATAATATTAACAATAATAATATATCAATAATATTTGTCTGATTAGCAAATGTGAATTTGCTTCAGTGTCTGCATGACCCTTTTACTTCATTTCAAATGAACGATTATAAAGATACCCCAAATTTTAAAAAATATCTCACAGAAAAACCCTATAAATCATACTTCCCGTATGTTGTTGCTCAAATATTTATGTGGTAAACATGAAAGGTCTTTGTGCGACTGGAATATGTTCCGGGGGATGCTGAAACAACAATGCCCTGGCAAGCCTGGTTAGCAGTCTCATGGGTAAGACTGTGTGAGTGATAGTAGTGAGCTTCTGCTACACAAAAGTACATTGATTTCAAGCAGTTAGAATTTTAGGATAATTGAAGTTTTTTTTTTTTTTTCTCCAAAAGAAAGAAGTTGACCTCATTCCTGAACTAAATTGTTCAAATTAATTTATGCATCTCCACCTGGAACACTGCTTAAATTATACAATTTGCATTTTGCAATTGTATAATTCAGCGGTTGAATGTCTCATCTCTGATCTGTGCTATGTATATGCTCAATCATTGAGCTGAAATTCATCTTTGAGTACTTGCAAAATTTTGTTTAAAATCATAGTTTCCATAAAGTTCCTTCATAGTGCATGCTTTCAGCAATTTGGATTTTTTATTTAATGCCCTTGACTGAGAGCAAGATATCACACCAGAAACTCAGAAACTCATACGCGTATTCACACGTGCGCAAGCACAGACGCACATTTATAGTCTTACAGTTGCAAGAAGTTTAAAAATGTGTCTTAATCAAAGGGTAAAAAAGAAAACAAATCTGTAAAGTCCTATGATTGTGGAGGACTCATTTTGAAATTCTGTGTTAGCCTCCTCTATATTTTTGCCAGAACACATGTTAAAAAAGGGACATGAATAAAGATGAAGCAAATTACTTTCAAAATTCCATTGAAAATCCTCTAACACTTTAATGATTTGCACTCAGTCGTAAATACAGCTTCTCCCTGAAAGCCAGGATTATGTGTTTGAATAGGCATCAAGTGCTTTAGCCAATAACACTAAAACATAAAAAGGAAAATCAACTTTCTTACTACGATGTTGTCTGATTGTAAGAAAGCAACTTTTTAAGACTAAAATGTAATCCTGTTTCCACATAAGCTTAGCAGCTATTGAGCAAATGCAGACACTTGTAGTATCCACCTACACATAAAAACAATTGAGAAAAACAAGATTAAAAAGACAGCTGTAATCTACTTATAAGTCTAAGTATTTAACAGTAAATTAATTACTGGAGTTAAAAATGATTTTACTCTCTTCAGAGTGCTCCTAGAAAGAGATTGACTATACTACTTCACGATTGGAGCATACTTAAAAATAAATCCAGCTTTGTTTATTTACCTGGTAGTTTCCTTTAAGGCTGACTATTAATTGACTAATTTGGCCAACTACATTCAAATCATGCAAGAGGTTCTGCAGATCATGGTACAGTTGCCCTGGGCCCATATACAGCTTGTCTGCAATGAATAAAAAGATGAGATTATACATAATAAAAAGATGCAATTCTCAGTAAAGGAGGAAAGCAGGAAAAATGTAATACTTTTAACATGAGTCACTACTACTTAGCACTGTATAAAAATTGAGCATATCAGAACAGATTTGTTCCTTCCATATTGAAAAAAACACTATTACACTCATATGTGGATACGCATTTATTACTTCTAAAAATCGGAGTGTTTTATTTATACACGTATATCACAGCTCTTTTACTTTGCTGATCCATGTCCCCGCAGCCAGATAATTGGAAAATGCATCACAGAAAATTATAGGTATCTGTGCACATCCTGGTGTTACCATGGGCATTTTCTTTCTGCTCACCTTATCATTGCCTTTTACAATTACAATTAAGACTAGAGGTTGTTTATCTAGTCTGCACACTGGAGAGCACGCTGTCTGTAATTTTAATAACCATGCACAACAGCCGTGCCAAACATCCAGCCTGCACTGGCTTCAGCAAAGACTAACCCTCCAGAACCTCTGAATTACATGGAATTTTTCAATAGCACCAATCAGTAGGTTTTCTGCAATACGTTAGTTTAAGTGTCCTTCAAGAATATTGCTTTTGATCATATGACAAGTCCAAAAAGTTATTTGCAGCCTTCATCATGGTTGTTCAAAACCCGTAATTTCTTAAACCTTGAAGCAAGACGTCTCTGGATGCAGCCCCCTGCCCTGCACGATGAAAACAGCTCAGTAGCAGCAGCAGCAACACGAGCTGCACCAAGAGGGCTCACTGCCCATGCTGGACACATCCTATCTTCCAGTTTGGACACATGTAGCACATCTATTTCACAAACCTCTTCCCATGACTGGTGCAAAGGAAAAAAAAAAAAAAAGAAGGAAGAAAAAGATTTGTCTTGCCCTTGAGCACTAAATAGGGAGCGAATGCACTTAGGGCTATTTCCCCAGGCATGGAATAGATGTAGCTCTCCTGCACTGCTCTTTGCCTGCGCTGCATGTTAATTAAGAACACAATGCAGCCCTTCTTCTCCTCACAATCAGAACAGCCTTTAAGATTATTCAATTTATTGTATGCAAAGAAAAGAAATAATTCCAAAATAGATCAAAGCTGAAGAGTTTTTGGATTATGTTCTTTCAGAGTATGTTTTTAGATCTTTTTTTTTAAAAAAAAGACTTTTCAGTAGCTGTAGAATGCATACTTCCATTAAGCTGCATTTTGACTTTCTCCAGTCCAAAAAGTAGAAAAATTAACATCTGAAAATTCTAAACAGTTGCCTCCCTGTATCCCTCTTCTTCTGTTAGCTAACACCTATTTTCTGACTGATGTCTACAATAACTATAATCTATGAAGTGCCAGAATTGCTAGTTCCTGAGCACAACCAATTGTTTATTTCAAAAGGTTTACTCGAAAACAACAACAAAAAAGCATTCAGTGTTAATAGGGATCTGAAGGCCATGACAATGTGTTCAGCATTGTAAAGGGTACAGAACGAAACCATTATTATCTCAGATTTTTATAACAAAAAGAGAACTACTGCAAAATGCAGTTTAGCCTGATTATAAGTAACTGGCAGTTTTATTTCTGGCACAAATCCATTTACTTACCTGCTGTTTACAAATTCCACTATTAATCAGTCCAAACTGCAACACAGAAAAAGGCACTAAGACTATTTCAGAAATTTATATTTATGCGTCTAAGCCATGTGAAAATTTAGAACTAGCATGCTGTGAAAAGCTGAAAGTGCGCAAGGAGGCCCCTGGACAGTATGGATACTGTAACTGAACTCAATTTTACCTACATTATTTGTAAACTTTAAAAGGGCAGCAGCATTTTTTGCAGCTTCATAAAGACAGAGTTATCTGAGATTCTCTTATTGAAAGCAAATCACAGAACTGACGCTTACCTGCAAACTGCAATTGCAAGAGCTCAGCAACTCTTGGATCCTGCGCCACAGCACTGAACCGTGGCCATAGGACTTTACCTGCCTTGTGGAGCGCAGACCTCTACTTCATCCCAACAACTTTCCTCCACAATCCTCGGCCTGCTCTTATAAATATCCCATCCCCGCCTTCAGAACAAGACATGAATCTGGAAATCAACTCAGTATTTGCCACTTGAGTCTAGTCTGTCTACAACATACACATCTCAAGATTTTAATAAATTGAGATGGAGAGAGTGCAGTAAGAGAGCCAAAACAAATAGAGTAACCTATGCACGAAGTTCGCTTATGCAAAACACCTCAACTGAAGTCATTTTAGGCCCATTCATTAAAGACCAAAGTTTTATCCAGAAAAGAAAAAAGAAAAGTGAATGAAAAAAATAATTACCAAGAATTTGCTTCTATCCTCTGATATTCTCAAGGAGGAGTGGCTAAACTAAGAAGGAACTTAAGTGGTAAGAAAAGGCCTGGTGAATGGCCACAGTTACCATTCTTGCATACAGATCCTTAGTGAGCATAAGCTGAAGCACAGAAAAGTAATTTGGTTTAAGAGATTAGGGACAATGTATTAGCCAGAAGCAAATTCTGTCAGAATTTTCCCTTTGATTTATGTCTGGATATTGAGTTATAAGTTACAGAAATTTAATATCTGAATTACATGGGCCCTGATGGGATGCACCCCAGAGTGCTGCGTGAGCTGGCAGATGCCATAGCTAAGCCACTCTCCATCATCTTTGAA